AAAAAATTCGAGTACAAATGGACTGCAGAGTAGTCAGCCTAGTAATGTCCGCTTTTCGGTTACCTCACCGACACCGTCATGTTCGTGTTCTTCCTGCTGGACCAATCTCGACTCACCATGCTCGCCAGCCTCCGCAGGCCTTGCAACTGCAGCTATTCCACCGTCACCATTCATGGAGCGACTGGGTTGTGGAACAGGTGTTGCAGTGTATCTTTTTCAGAGGTAAGGAAAGGGTTTCGCAAGGCTGAAATCGTCAGCTTTTGACATGTTTGAAGTGTGCAGTACTACGCCTATATTATATATTTATACATGTAATGTATACAATGTTCAATTTTATGTTAGGCCTACTTAGTAACTGGTGGTCGCCCGACCATACCCAAATGTTTAAAAAGGCGATTCATTGAGTCCAAGTTACTCTGTTGCCCGACCATGTCTACATGTTAAAGGCAAGTTGTAGAGTCCAAGTTACTCGGACTAGTTACTTAGAACACTTGTCATATTTGTCAATGTCATATTTTTCCATTTACTCGGCTCAACATGCTCATGTTGTAAGGATTTTTTTCAAACCTGTGAGAGGTATTTAATCTTCATTTTCGATGTTTTTTCCTACGTTTGTTTTGCTTCACTTTTTAAACTTTTAAAAGTGGGACTTGGCCTACATGCTTAACTGTGTTCTAATCTATCATCAGATCATTTTCATTTACTATTACAAAAAGTGGTGTTTTTTCCATGGAGTGATGAAGGGTTATTCATAAGACTTTAAGAGGATTTTTTTCCAGAGGTTCAAAGAAGGATGGATCAGGACTTTCTCCTTGGGCCATAAAGAAAACTACGTCAAGGACCCGCAAAGATGACTACATGGACAACAATGTTGAGAAAATGCTTGCAAAAGAAGCCCGCATTCTCAAGGTATTGCCTCATGAGCTCAGTGAGTATTGCTGAGATCTGTTACTGAGTTGTTTTGAGAAAAAAGCCCCACGAACATCTTCCTTGTAAAAGTTTTTGAAGTTGGAAATTTTGAAATTTTCATGGCAGGATCTTATGCATGAAAACATTGTTGGATTCCGAGCTTTCAGCCGAAATGAAGATGGCAGCATGTGTTTGTCCATGGAGAATGGGGAGCAATCCTTACTTGACCTGATTGAAAGGAGAGATCAGGAAGGCCTGGGTAAGAAGTTGAGTCACTTTTATTGACAGGATTTTCATTTCATTTGGGTAAGCCAAGAGTTGAATTGTCACATTAAGCCAATGCACCGAGGCATTCTGCTCACTGTGCTTAGACTGCTCCTTGGACTTAATTACAGGTCCCTTTCCTGCACACCACATCTACCAGGTTGCCCTCGGCCTGGCCAGGGCTCTCAAGTACCTCCATAATGAAAAGCACATCCTTCATGGTGACCTAAAGAGCGGCAATGTTCTCATCCGGGGTGATTTCCAGTCGGTCAAGCTGTGTGACTTTGGCGTATCATTAAAACTGACGGAGGACTTGACCTGCTCAGAGGTACACGCTGACTTTGAATTGGTATCACAGGTTTCTGAATTTTTTTAATACCATTCCGAAGCAATTACATCCATTTACACTCAAAGTCTGAGCATTAAAAGAAAAGGATCTAACTCCAGACTACAAAAGTTATGATGAAATCGGATGAATGGAGCAGTTTTCCTCATTTGCCTAGGATCCAGACAACCACTACATCGGCACAGAACCTTGGACTGCTCCTGAAATCATTCGGGAGGAAGGTCAAGTCACCCACAAGGCGGACATCTTCTCCTATGGTCTCGTCCTCTGGGAGATGATGTCACTGACCCTACCCCACATGGATCTCCTCAGTAGCTCCATGGGTAAGTTGACCATTCAGATCAAATAGACATTGTTTGGTAACTGGTATCCTGCCTATGTTTCACATAATGGCAACTCAGGAAGTAATGTAGCTCAGCTGACCAATCAGAAGGCATTTATGAAGCGGTGTGAAAACTGGTAATCTGCAGTCAACCATTTTGTGCTCAGGAGCACAAACTGAGATGAGCATGAAGGAAACATTCATTGTTTCTTTTCAGTCAAAAAGAGACATTTAAACCAAATAATTACACAAGACTTCAAAGCTCCATGTTGGGGCATTTGTCAAACTCAAATATTAACTTCATGTTTTATCGTACCAGGTGACAGCATAGGGGATGAAAGTTTGGACCAGTCGTTCCAAGAGGAGCAATACCAAGCAGCCTTGGGCACCAGACCCCCTCTACCAAACTTCCCTCTCGGTCCTACCTACAAACCCCTAGTCAGCCTGTTCTGCGCGTGCACGGAGGAGCTACCTACCAAGAGGCCATCAGCGAGCTTAATTGTCGAGGCTCTGGAGTCAATTCCAGTTCCATCTGATCACACTGATGCTGACTTCTCTGAGAATAAAGAAAATGCTCCCATGTACTCAAACAACTGATGGTTTTCATGGTATGGTTGGTGGGCAAAGATTGCCAAAATACCTCTCCCATCTATGCCAGAAGTCAAAGCTGCGTAGCTTAAAGCAGAAGAGCAACGACATCAAAGCAGCTCATGTTTTACACCAAGCACAGCAGTAGAAAGGCTTTATCTGTATTTTGTGGCTACATGTATAGGGAACCGTTCTTTTGAAAATCGATCATTTTCTTTTGAAAATCAATCATTTTCTTTCGAATATCAATCATTGCAAAAGTCAGTTCCTGCATTTCAAATTTGCTTGCGCCATTGATCATGTTTAAACATGTACATGTTGGGCACTGTCGTGTTGTGCTGTCACTTAAGTTGGTATGAAATCTCCTGCTTCACTTCCCTTCCCTTTTTTGAAAGCAAAAAGGAGAGAATTGGCTGATGGCAGAATCGTTAGCAAATTGTACAAGGTTGACAGATTGTGCCAAGATTGAGTGATCAAGCATATTGACGATGCACCCAACAAATACATACCTATAATTCTAAGCCTTAAAATTTTGGTGTATTTGTTGGAAATTTAAGGGACACATCTTTGTAGTTTCCTTGAAAATTAAACCACCACTTCAATGTTTGTACTCACATTTGATATATACGAGTATACTGTACAGACATTTTTGCATCACTGCATCGCTTGTTTCGTTGTACATAATTTCAAGTTCAAGCCATGGTTTTTTTTCTGTTTCAGCAGACTTTATAATTGTTAGTATTTAAAAAGAGGCAATTCAATTGGAATTCTGTATTAACAGAGTACAAGTTTCCACAGATGCAGAAAAATGGAAAGAGTATGTATTTGTTTATTCACAAGAGATAAGTGGTAAAACTGGTGTACGCTTCACCACGGCACTGATTTTTGTTTAAAAACATGAGCGCCGCCTTACAGGATTTGAAGTTACCCCAGAACACCTACCAAAGGGACTTAGACATCCTTACAGCTTGAAAAACATCTACTTGAAGCAGCTGTAACATTGTACTATGTACATCACCTACTCACAGACTGAAGAATCTTTAGCTTACACATGAAGGTTTTCCATGCTTAAAACTGTTCGCCTATCATTTTTAAAAAATCATATTAAAATTGGAGGATTCAGGGCTGTTAGGGTTAATGGTCCTACATTCTGTTTCAGGCATGATGAAACTGTTTAACAAATTCTATTTCGACCTCAACAAATGCGTGTTGGACTGAAGATACTCCAACAATATTTTTCCGCCAGAATAAAAAAAAATGACTCAACTTTCCACTTTAGTACACAAAATAAAGTTTATAAAAAGGCGATTCCAGACTTTTTTTGGACCTTTTCTTTTTCCAGTTAAAAATCATTGGCCTGATGACCTGCTGATCATATCAGTGGTACTCAGTACATCTGAAGGTCCCATCAGCTTTCACCTTTGCAGCGATTCTATGTCTGAGCCTGATCCCATCAGATTGGAATCCAGGTTCAGATCTTCTGAAAAGCAGAAACAGAAAAATGGATGAACTTTATCCACTGGCACTTGAACATCACAGGGCAACTCATGCAGTAAGCCTTGTGCAAGTTAAATTTGAATAAAATTTGGTTCACTGAGTTCTTTAAATTCAAGTGAACATTACAATTTGAATTCCCTGTACTAAAACACTGTTGCTCTACCTTGTGATTCAGAGCAAGCTTTTGCTTTATAGTTAAGAGACGCCTTGCAACACTACACTGTTCTTAATGGATAAGAACGGCACAAAGGAACCAGTCCATTCCAGAGATGGTGGTTGCTATGCAAAAGCTTACCCCGAATCATGAGGTACAGCAACAGAGTCTTTAGTCTGGAGAATTCAAAATGTTACGTTTACATGCAATCAGATAACTCAGTGAACCAGATTTTATTCAATTTTAACTCACAAAAGGCTTATTGTCTGTCGTTGCATTGATGCCACCTGTCAATGGACTTAAAAACCCTCAGTAGTCATGTTTGGTAAGGGCTCTCATATGCAATATGGTAAATACACATGATGTCATCACATCTGGCAATTTAGTGAGACAGTCCCTAAACTACCTTGGTCGGTGTTGGACGACAAGCCAAACTCTAGCTTCTTCATGGGGGTTTCCTCGAGTCCTTCGATGTCCACCAGCGAATCTCCCGGAGTTTCCGTCGAGTTCAGCATATTCAAGGTGACCTCTGTACAAACGCACAACAGGTTTAAAATTTGTAACTTGGTCACAAATGAAGAACTGACTAAAACTTTTCGGTCTGCCTGAGAGTAACATGAGCTTGCAAACAGAAATGTTCCTATTACCTTGGCCACATCACTCATCCTAAAATTCCTATGACTTCTACCTGACTGCTTCTGCTTCTTCAACGGGGGCTCATCACCAGAGGGTGCCGTGCTGTTTTCCTCTTGCCGGCTGTTCATCTGTGCCTTCCTCTCTGCATCTTGTTTGTGAGCTGCTGCCTGCTCCTGGGCTTTTTTCTTCATCGCTGTCCTGATCTGAGATCTGCAAGCATACCAAAAAGTAATGAAAATGATAAATGAATAACCTTCCTTCTAGAATCCACCAAGCTCCAATATGAAGCAGTAACAAACCAAATGATATTTGGACTTTGGCTTAATTTGTCTGTCTTACACTGTTCTTGTCTTGATGGTTTCACTGATTTTTTGGAGATCGTCTCCAAAAGTCTTGATCGACGATCGCAGCATCTCAATTTCTTCATCAGTCCACTTGCCACTTACAAACAAAACAAAAATAAAGAACAAAAATTTCCTTTTTATTATATATTCTCTGCAACTAAACACAATGTAAGGAAAGCAGAATTTAACACTGATATTAAACTTTAACATCAAACACAGCCACACACTGTAGTACTGCCTATGATATGTCTATACACTACTCCAACTTCCAAGTGTATTATCAACAACAACATCCTTCAATCTTCAAACAGAACATGCATTGCAACTGGTCTAGTACCACACCTTGTTGGAGAAGGCTCTGCCATGGGATGTAGCTGCATAGTCAGTTCCCCAAGGCGACTAAATGCTTCTCCAGCAGCTGAAAAAATTTCACCGACCTGTTGTGCAATTTAAAACATTTAATTTAGCCTGGGTTTCACACTGACTGTTTTTGTAACTGCCAAAATGTGGGCTTTCTTGCCAAATATTTTTCCTACTTGGGACCGAGAATTGTTAAACTTTTTAAAAAGTGGCCATTGGTGGAAAGCCATTTGAACAACATATTTGTGCCTGTGTACAATGAAAGATGTCATGAAAATAAATTCAGCATATGCCTCTTTGACCTGAGGCCTAACAATGCTAACTTACCAAGCCAGGCCTAGGCAAGCAATTCGGAAAGATTTAAGATTGGCTTATAATAGGCTAGGCGTTGTGAAATAATATAGACTCAAATCAACCCACGACAAACTCACCTTTGATACCGAACTCATGATCAAGTAAAGATATAAAAAACAACCTGCAAGTGAAACGGCTGCTGGGGCCGGGCAGGAAAGTAAAGAAAGGATACAGATGGACCGCCTCAGGCCTCAGTTTCAGAATCAAAATGAAAACATTGCCTCTCAACTGTTGAGCACCCAGACGTCTAGTGCAGTACTTCAAAGGTGATTTTTCATTTATTAATTTTTCCACCAGACTGTTGACTAATCTGTCTTTATTTACCGCCCTCTGTTGGCAGACAAGCAACACTTGACTCACTCTTTGGCCAGTTTGGGTGGAGTTCAAGTCAGCTGTCCTGTCGACAGAAAAATCTTCTAGAATTCATGCTTTTCGTCAATAAACACTTTCATATTTTGTGATCGTGTGTTGGACATCGCATGGATGTTGTCAGGCAAGTATATTAACATGTCACCGTTATTTTCTTTTGTCATTTGAATCTGTTTGTGAGAGTGAGAATTCGAGTTTGTACGGCTCCAGGGCCTAACACGACAACAGTAACAACAAGCATGCGTAAGCTGAATGCGAAGCCCTTGTTTCATGTTTTGCATCATGCCTGGCCACTGCCATGGTAATGTTTAAAACCATTGCCTGCACAAAACCAGTCAAGGTCTGTTATGTTCACACTCAGTGATTTACACTGTAGGAAAGAGTTCCATATAGTATGAACGCCACTTGACACCCTGTGCACAAACCCTATGGAACTGGTTCGAAAAATTCTAACTTCAACTTGTTTTCTAAGTAGGTTTAAACAACTTGTTTTTCCCTCCTAAATTGAACTTTTCTGGACATGTTTTTGCTTTCTGATGGCTAATAGGTCACTGTAAGGAATAATTACTGGCATTCGTACCGGTATGTGGAACTCTTCCCACATCACACATGTGGGCTACATCACAACTACCAGTGTGCATAAAGATTTAGGCATACTTTATTCACATTATTTTGGCTTGTTTGGGTACTCTGTGCTGTGTATGCAGACAGTGTGTCGTGTCAGTAAAGTGTCTTACCTAGGACCTACATGTATGACTAGGCCTGTGTGTCATGACGTGATAAGGCAGGATCAGCAGTCATGACCAGTCATCATCACGGTCATTTCAGTTTTTCATTTTACAATCGAGTGACGAGGAATTGATACAAACCCTAATATTAATAAGCGTGAATAATGTTAATATTTAACGTTATAGCTTGTTGCCCTTCAGTTGAAGTCTGTGACCAAATACTGCTGTGTACGTTGAAATGTCTAAACCCAAAAAGTGGCAAAGATTATTCTCTGTTTTAAAGTTGTCTGCTGATGCAAAAGTTCTGCTTCATTACACAATTAATGCTGTCGTGTGCAGAAAGCAAGGATCACATACTTTTGGCTCAAAAGTTTTGTGACAATCATAGCTGGCCTGGCAAATTCCTAGATTTACTTGTATCAATGTTTGGCACAGTCACTTCTTCAGTTGATCTTCATCAGTAACAGATCGCTGCATCCCATCACTCAATCATGCAGAATGGCCTGTCGATCATTCTCACCGTTTCTTTTTAGTCACATTTGTGTAGGAGAAATAATGTCTCAGATTATGCACAGGATTGACAGGCAATGCTTTGCAGGAATCTGTTGACTGATGGGAACCCAACATGCACACTCTTCTTGGGTATGGGAACCCAACATGCACACTCTTCTTGGGTATCAACCCATTTCAAAATTTGAAATTGTCAAACACAGTGTAAACATTTTACATTATAAGCTGGTGTTAGGGGGACTTTGTGGTGTTTTTGTTATACCCTAGCTGTAACAGCTGTCCCAACCGTGGTTTTGCAGTTGGGCATGTGCAAGTGTGCCAATACAGTCTATAGTACGTGTCAACGTTATTGAAATTATGAATAACGTGGTGGAAGAATCATACATAGACATGTATATATGCATCTTGGATAAAATGCTAGGTTGGCTTATTTTGGGATGAATTCTGTCGGGAGTGAGCTGCAAAACTTGGAGAAGGTTGAAAAATTGTCTGTAAATATTGACCAACTATAGTTGGGACAGCCCAAATTGCAGGACTATGGTTGGAACCGTCCCAATGATACTTGGGACAGATGTTATAGTTTGGGGCATAACATGTTCTATGTGATCCAGCACTGCATTATATTTAAAACTGTTGCTGAGCAAAAGTTCAATTTAGATGGGTTTGTGGTTGTTAAAGTAAATCAGGTATTTCCCCTGGGCTTGTTATATGGGTAATTCCAGAGATTAGTGGTCCAAAAGTGGGACATTTTTTCTGTCGCTGTTACATCTGACCTTTGTTATTTGACATGGAAATATCACCGGAATTGATTTCATATTATTGCTATTTATTTGGCAGGTAAATTGCAATAATTCATCACTCTTGGAAATTGGAAAATGTGTTCTGAACTTACAAAATCATTTGTCAGATGTAACAGGGACATGACAAAAAATGGACCCGTAATTTCTGGAATTACCCTTATGCATTTTCTTCAGGTGCATATGGTGATGAACTTGTTCAAATTGTGTCAAACTTTTCTCTGTCAATAATAACTTCCTCGTATAAAGTCATGAACTCCCAACATACATGTCATCGTTTGAGCCAAGAATCAGTAGTTTGTTCCTTGGCATAATGCGCTTGATAGAAAGAACAGAAAGACAAATTGACAGCAACATTACTCATCCAACTGGTATCCTGTCAGAAAGTTGGCAATGATAATTTGACTGGTGTCCAAACAACACATCCACAGGAAGTACCCTATGATCGATTGAGCAGCCCCCCCGAGCGTCTATGGTTCAAGTTGACGTCACTCAACTTGGTTCTAGCCTGTAACCCCAAAGAAACAAGGAATTAGTTGGATAGCTCAAAGCTCACCACAGGTACAGCCCCAGACTGGTACTCTGTCTCAACTGGTGCCCAGGATTGGCTGACCAGCACTCAACATTAAATAGCTGAATAGAGCAGGTACATGTACACGTTTATCTTGTCCCTTGAGTCCCACCTAGCTAACATACACATTTACTTACACTTTCTGTCATTTCTAATTTCCTTTCTCAACACCATCAAAGACTAATGGGCTAAAGTTTTCCAAGGGAATGATTCATTATTCCACTTTGAAAGTTTGAATCTATTTTTCTGATGAAAGACCCCCCCAAGAAATTTAAACGCAGTTGATGCATTTATGTATGTTCCAGCTCCATTGACTTTGACAAGGTATTTGTTTCTCTCTGCGGAAACTCCTTAAACTGTTAGTAAGCAAGGGCGTTACATGTACTTGGTCAGAGAGTTTATTCAAGTCAACAGTGAATGTCTTCCCTTGGTTAAAAGACGGAAGCAGTTGACATTGCTTGCAGAACTCACAATCTATTTCTTTGCCATGAATTTTACTTTAAACTTCCTCGTCGCCTACCAAGGCAATTGAATAAATTACGATCAAGAGCTTTGTGTGCATACATTCAGGCATTGTTGATTGACCGCATGCACGTGGAGCAATACAGACTTTCATTTTGTTCATTCCAATTATTTATGTACCTGTAAGTGTGTGTATGTTCATGCATTTGACATAAGAAGCAGAATTCAATCTGTTGGAGGTTTACATAGGCCATCCTGTGCACAGATTCGAGATGTCAAGTTGGCATTGTACAAAAACTGAAACTGTTTAAACGGGTAATTAATTGAAAGTTCAAAGGAAATCTCAGATCTGTGCATTTGTGTACTTGCACTGCATAGATGTCAGCGCTCAATTTGATGTAACCTATAGATTCCTGTGAGAACTTTACACATTTCCTGTGTCAGTTCATTTGAACTTCATTGTTTCTCTTTGTGCACATGTTGTAGACGAAGTATTAATGTACGGATAAGACAGGCTTGGTGAATGCGAGTTGCCTAGTATCAGGTTTCTTCAAAGAAATTGGAAAGTCAGTCCCTAGATCTGGGTGTAAATTTGAAAAAAAAAACTTGTTTCTTTGATTTGAAGACTTAGGGTGGATCCGAGGGGGGGGCCATTTGGGACCATGAACCCCCCCCGAGAAAGAACCCTTCCCTTTTTTCCCATAATGAGAGAAAGGCATGGGCAGGAGACATTTTCCTCCGTTTAAGAAGTCCCAAAATGTAGCCTCACCCCTCAGAAAGAGTGGCGTAGCAAGGATTTTATTACTGGGGGGATTACAAAGGGGCACCAGCACCGTATGGGGGGTACCGGCTTTCTGTGGTGTGGCTTTTGGGGGTAAGGTTTATTAGCCTTGTTCAATATCCATTCATCCATTTTTTTTAGTGGGGGGTAGCTGGGAGGGGGGAACTGGGAATTTGAGGGGTGTGTGCCCCCCTCCCAGGCCCCTCCATGGCTACGCCACTGCTCAGAAAGGCCACAAAAAGGTTACATTAAAAAGAAAAATCAATTTTTGGGTCCCCCAAACAGAGTTCGCCCCATCTTGAAAATTTTGGTCTAGATCTGCCCTTGGGGGAGCTTAACGCAGTCCCAAATGTCCTGTTCAGGAAACCCTCGATGTTTTACCAGGTAGCTGTGACTACACATAAATCACATGTTGTCCTTATGCATCATGTTTTATAAGAACATAAAACACTTCCTGTATTGGCACTGTCTTTCCTTTTCCAGAGCCTGTCCGCACAATTAGATTTTGTGTTAACGGACTCATGTTTGGTTGAAGCACATATTGCAGAGAAACACTTACTTTTTTTAGTTGATCCCTTAACTTTAACAAAAGTATACTTTCAGTCCGTCTCTGCACAGATTTGACTGATTTGAACTGATTAACAAAACTTTGATCTTTCATGTACGTGTGCGTTGCTTGACTCATCAACAACTTAACTCATGTGTTGTTCCTGTGCGTCATCTCTTTTACAGTGTCTGCTGTCTTATTATCTCAAAGCAGTCAACATCAACTAGATTTATCTATTTATTCAACACAGGTTAATTGACGTGGAAAGATTTAAGAAGGAAGTGAAAATTATTTTGCCTAGAATTAAATCCATTTCTTGTTTTTATTTCACTTTGCACCGACACAGATACATGTGCTCTGCCTTGCTGTTCAGAAGCCGAAAATTATTTGTTCTGTGCTGTAAAAGTCAAATGATGACCGGTAACAAGCAGTACATGCATGTAAAATGCTTGTGATGAGTCTCTCTTTTTTTTACGATTGCCCGTCTTTGCTGTAGCAAAGTCTAGTTGATGTTTAAGGCCAACATTCGTTATTAAGATACATGTATGTGTGTACTGCTTTCGGTTGGATTAGAGACATCAAACTGGGCCCTGCAGGTCAGTAACTCTGGTAAATACGTGCAAAATGGTTCTTCAAAATCTTCCAGCAAACTATCATGACCATGGGAGACAATTTAGGTCAGATGTTGCCCACTTTGTGTGTAATGTTTGTGATATCAGCTGATGAGAAGGAAATGTAAAATCTTCTACATGAGCCCCATCAGATCCTCTGCACTTGAACTGTGTCCATGAGGCCAATCAAACAGGTACATGTAGCTGTTGGAGACTGCCCTCCCCCATCCCACCATGTTGGCAGATTGCAGCCCCCTCGTGTGCTTATTCACAGGAAATATGGCCATGAAATTCCTGCACTACTTCCGCATTTGAGGGCCCATTTGAGGTCAGGTGTACAGGCTGGCTTATACTGTGGAATCAACAGCATTGCACAATAGGCAATTGTGGTTTTACGCAAACAGAGGCCATAGTCCTTGTACTGGGTTGCACTGTGCAGTTTTTGGGCATAATGATCAGGGGGGGAAAAATGAACTAAAAATAGCTTGCTCTGCACAGCCATATAAACGGATAATGTAACGTGCATACATGCATAGTCACAAAGCTGTGTGATTTGCACTGTACCGGTACATACATACATCTACATGCAGACATCTACACATGGTGCATGCCTACTACGGACATTGACTTTTAACTGTAAGTTCCCTCTTTGTTTATCAAAGACCTATGAAGTATTGTACCTGTAAGTCTTAATAGCAAATGTAAAACTTGGTAGGCTTTTACTAAGGCATGAAAAGCAAACCATAGAAATTGTACATGTATAATACATGTAGAACATAAAAGGCTAATTGAAATTTAGTCAGAGAATTTTCTTCAAAAAATCATTGATATTATTTGCACACCTGTTTTGTAAATATTTCATTCCTCCCCAAAATGGGCTGACTTTGCACCTGCATTTTTTGTGCTATTAGACCCCAAAGTCTCATCAAGGCACTTAAGTCGAAAAAGAAAAAAATCTGAATGGGCACAAAATGAATTAGAACTTGATCCAGATGTATCAAATCAAGTTTATCAAATCTATCAAAAGTTAATCTGCAGTAAGCCTTTAATCTCATGGAAATAGATACATTTATACATGTACATGCATGCACTTAAGTATAGGCTCTGCTCTTTTGACGTCACAGTCCCGTTTTTCCTACAAGTGGCTACCAAAACTATAGCTAGCCTTGAGTAGACAAGTAAAATGTTAAAAATCCCACGCAACTCTCTGAATTCAGAACACCAGATAATAATGCAAGTACTATGAAATACTAAATGAAAATACAACCCTTTTTAAAATCAATGGGACAAATGTCAGTTCTGGACAAATTTGAGGTCAAATCAAAAACCAATCAAAAGGAGATATTTCTGCAAACTTTGACTGCCCACGCTGGTTGTGGGCAAAATGAGAATGATCTGTTAGTAACACTATTCCCTACAAATCTTGGGACGTCCTGCACCTGCATCGCTATGCATGCATCACACACGTGAGATATATGACTAAGGATTTGATTAGAGGTGGCCAGTGTGTAGCTTTTTATTCCATGACTAATCAGGCAGGCAGTGCAGTGTGAGATATCGGTCAGGAGGGCTGGGACAAGGTACTACACTCAGTATGACTTGCAACAAGGAACGAAAACACACCAGTACTGTTTCACCTTCTGAGGCCGTCTTATTTTCCTTTTGAAAAACAGGTTTTTTTGGTTTTTCTGTCATTTGAATAGTTGAAGCCTTACAGGTACTGTACATGTAAGAGATTCTCAAGGATGTATGTATTCAGTGACTCATTAATAAATACGTAATGTTTAGGCAGTGTACTGTGGGTCAAGTGTATTCAGATATAGCTGACAGGTGACAGGGTCAATGTTCTCAGTCATTGGGCGTATCACTTTTCTTGAAATCAGCTGATTTCCTTCTTGTTCCCCTAAATGGTCCTAAGGAACACAAATGGACAACTCCAGAAATTGTTTCAGTTGCCTACTGGAAAGAAAAACCTGCATTCAGTCCAGAACCTTGCCCAATGACATAAACCTGCAGTCAGTCTATTTACATAATGTATAGACTTGGGAATTGACCTAAATCTGAGGTCATCTTACTGAGGTGACAAGCCCTGGGCTCCATGTCTGTGTGTGTACATGACAACGATGTGCATGCCTGTACATGTACAATGGGCGCAGTTCTAAGGGAGCGTGTTGCCCCTTGCAACATGCACCAACCACACAAGCAGTGACTCAGAGGGCTCTGTGCAATTGGGCTGTCAGCTTTCAATAGCGATTGTACATGGTCACATTTTGTTCACTGAAAATGCACTTGTTATATTTGCATAATATGGGCATGGGTGCATTGGGTATACGTTTACTGAATGTTCCACTGCACAATATGGATGTACATGTACATGTTTAATATAGGTGATACAGCAGATGCTTAAATGTCAGATTCCAGGATGTTACAGAGCAAATAACCGTGCTTTTAGTTGGGGTAAATTTATAGAATTCCCCTTTTGGAATGAAGTAACGGCTTTGGATGTCAAAATTTACTAAGAATGTACTAAACAGGTGCTGTCCATTCATAAAAACAGTCAAGCCTGCTCATACCAACCTGAAGAAACACGCTGAAACAATTCTGTTGTGCATATCCAGTGGCCTGGCTTGGTACACCTTGTCCCAGCATTTACTTACTTACATTTACTTAATGAATCCATTTCTGCTTTTATTGTTTTAGAACAGGTTTAATAAGGTCTTGAGTCTAAATGCCTGTGGTGCTTGGGTGACGTTTTAAATACTTCATACTTGTTTCTTCATTTTACCTTTACACACAGGTCCACGGTGTCTGATTTTATGGACCCAGATCCAACAGTTGAAGGTAAAGCTGTAGTTTTTTATCAAAGATTAAGTTCATTTTGACAGGCGTTGGCCATCCATTGCATTTAGTCAAGGGAATATGCACTTTTTACAGCTAGTGAATTTGCATTCCAAAATATCAATTTTCAAATATCGATGGGCATAATCATGGATTGTTTTCCCATTATTAAAACGGCATGAAAGATACGAAATTACACTGTGTATGTTTACACTTTCATACTTTGTTGGTTTATGTTTAACATCTTGCCAAGTGTCGGTCAAAACCCCCTGGTTTGAGTTAATAATGTGATCTCCTTCTCTCCCAGCAGACAACGGAGATTGTGCTCCACACATGGCTACAGCACGGAACGTCAAGCTGGTTGTAGTCGGGGATGGTGCCGTCGGCAAGACCTGCATGCTATGGTCCTACACACACAATGCCTTCCCCAAAGAATATGTGCCCACAGTGTGAGCAAATTTTTTCCCTCAACCGTAAACTTATGTGGGCAGCTGATCTCGGTCTTTTGGTTTATGAACTAGCCCGGGGGGGAGTTTCAGGAGTAAAATGGAAATGTGTTACAAATGGCATGTTTTTACTCACATGAATGGCCTTGATTATGTATTAAGTTTGAAGTTTTTATCGGTTGTATTTTAGGAGTCATAATGAAACAGTCGATTGATTTTACACAAGAGGAAACCTGGCTTTGAAACCTGTCAAAATAAAAGTGAAAGCGATGTCTCGTGTTAAAAAATGCTTTGCAATGTATTCTTTGACACTAAACTCCCCTGAAATTCTTGTTTTCATTTTGTCCATGGCAGGTTTGACAATTTTTCACAACTGATCAAAGTGGACAGTGTCTCAGTCAACTTGGGGCTGTGGGATACGGCAGGGCAGGAGGATTACGACAGACTGCGACCGTTGTCCTACCCACAGGTGCAGACATTGGTTGCCGATAGGGGTGGGCCAAAGAATTTACCGCAAACAGAAATTGGAAGGGGGGTGGAGATTTGCTATAATATACTCAGATTGTAGTTTACTGCCAAAGTAGTAAATAAATGTGACTCAATTTAACTTTCTCATAATCCTTTAGAATTTACCGAGATGGAGGACTTTCTAGGACCTTTCCCCTCGTTACTTGGGGTATTAGACTAACTGAAGTGTACCTTAAGGTTGGATAAGAGAACCTCAATGTGAACATCTGATATTGGGTAGTTTTGAGACACTTGAGTTCATGAAATTAACTGAAGAGAAGAAAACTTGGAAATGTAATGGCATTTTTGATATCCTGACCTTGTTATGAAGTTTTCCTGTATGTGTGTGTTCTCAATCCACAGACCGACATCTTCCTAGTTTGTTTCAGTGTTGAGGGACCCCCTTCGTATTCCAACGTACAAACAAAATGGGTTCCAGAGTTGCAGCACCATGCCCCTGCAGTGCCTTTCATTCTTGTTGGTGAGTCACGAATGGCACTCCGTATTGGTTGTTTTTTTCCTGTTTTTTCCCTTCTTCTTTAAAGGTATGCGTACAACTCGGTCTCCCTTAAGCATGTAGTACACTTGCAGTTTGGCAAATTTGAAACCCCTATCGGTTGGAGATTTGAAAACATGACAGAGGGTTCCAAGTAACAGTGGTGTATCATCTTTGTCAATCATCAGGAACAAAGATTGATTTGCGAGAAGACAGAGAGACACTGACCAGGCTGTCTCAGCAAGGCAAAGCGCCCTTTAAGAAGGAGGCGGGAGAGAAGCTTGCTGCCAAGACAGGTGCCTACAAGTACATGGAATGCTCAGCTTTGACACAGAAGGGCCTGAAGCAGGTGAGACCAACAAAGAAATGAGATCCTTGTGCATCAGCTGAATAGATTGCTTGGCATTTTACCCCACCAGATTAACCCTAACTACCCTCCAAGTAGTAGGTTTGTCACGTTTGGGCCAATTCAGTACCATACAGTTTGAATGTCGTGTTCAACATTGTTGGATTGAACAAGGGCCCAGGGCTGTGGTGTTGGGTTTTGATTGAGGAGGAACATTTTTGAGACATTCCCTGGAGTGACCAGCTAGTGGTGCCATGTGTTGGACTGTGCTTGATGCTGTCAAGCTTGGTACTGCTATTCCAAAAGTCACCCTTATATTGCCTTGACCAATCCATGCCAACTGACTCAAAGTCTAATGTGAACTTGGAGTTTGATCGGTCCTGTCCAGTCTTGGGCCTCTGACTACAGTTACATGCTTGTGTCTGTTGCAATTTGTTGGGTTCAGTACTATTTCTATTATAACAGCCGAGGGTTTGGAATTAAGAAGGGTTCTTGTTTTATGAATGAAGGTAATTCTAGGAACCAGTTCAGGGCTCACCCTGAATTGAATAAGCACCCTAAATTTCTTCTTTTTTTTTCTTCTTTTTTTTTTCTTTTTTTTTGGATCTGCCTCTAAGCAATGATATTTTTTTTTTTTTTTTTTAAAGCTGGGGTATCAAGGTGCATGAATAAGCGAGTTAACTTCATGAATCCTTGAATCCAACAAAATGTTAAAAAGTATTACGATGTAAGGTTAGACACTGATTGAATCCCTTACACTTGCTCTCCAACTTCCCGTTGCAGATCTTTGAAGAAGCCGTCAGGGTGGTGTTGACACCAAACGCAGCCCCCAGACCCAAGAAGCACAGGTGCAAAATATTGTGAGTCTGTCTTTGACGCGGGGACTTGCAGGTTTGAAACATGCAGCTTTACGCAACTGGCCTCTAAGTCTTTGTCCTCATGCGGCTGCACATTGTATAACAACTTGGAAGTTTGTTTCCCTATCAGAGCCATTTCACATGTATGTCAACTGCTGTCCACTCTTCCACCAAGTAAATGTAAAACCAAAATGAAGTTTGTGGTGTAATTTCATGCTCTGATAATATTCAGAAGGTAAAGAGTAATAGTCCTGGTCATTGTTGATATTTGAATTTTTTCTTTAGTGGTTCGTGGCAACTTTATACAGGTAAAGGCTTCCTGCAAAGCTGGTGGCTGAAATTTTGTCAGCGGTGGTTATTGAGCTCTCCTGGTAACATGGCCAGTTCTGCCAAAAGGGTTAGGGTTATCTGTTCTTTGCGGAAGAACAATGACTATGCTAATAGAAGCAGTATCCATTTTGAGTAAGGCTGCGGACAAATTATGTGGCTATGGCTATGTTACACACAAGCCTATGGGATATAGTTGTAGCCACTAGCTGGTGGTTTTCATGGGAAAAATGATTTTCAACCGTAGCTAAAGCAATTTGAACTTAGCTTTAGCAGTTTCTGTTAGGATAGTGTAGACAGATTCTATGGGATCCATGCCAAAAGGCCCAAATTTCCACTCATCATAGGATTTTTGAGGGGTTCAGATTGGTGCCAAAAGAAATCTGGAAGAGGATGGCAGTAAAGGAGAATTGATCCACGGTTGCCCAATCGTGAATTTGTGCATTTGTGTGGCTTTGAATTGTTGGTTTGTAGGAGATGAATGACTGGCCAATATATTAAGCTTGTAACTACACAACTCTTCCTTGGAACAGAACCTGACATTTATTAAATGTAAACTAACAGTGAAGAACTACCCCAAGATGAAGACTTTAACCACTTTCAACAACAGAGTGGATAACTCTTGAGAAATGACATTCCTTTGATAGATACGCCACTAAAAGTATACCTGGTCCCCAGATTTAATATACCGCTAAAGATATTCACAGCCAAAGTGTTATTTTAAATCATTATTTTGGTTTGTTTATTTGTTTGCCATTTATGGTAGAGGGCTAGACATTGTATCATGTTTGTGTTTGTAAGGTTTAAAAATGACTTCTTGCAGATTGTATAATTTTCTACTTAAATTTTCATATATATATCATCTGAAAAATTGCAACAGAATCTGCTGTTTAAATTAAGTGGAAGTTTAAGTTTTTGCAGGGAGAGGAATGCATGGCAGTTACATGGCGCCCTCTAGTGGTCAAGCAGTTCTGTAGAATCCCTATGCCTATGATGATCAAGCTTGCTCCATCTTTTAGTTGATAAACGCAGCTTGTTGGATTGAGTGAAAGGGTGTTTTGTATCATATAGTGCATTCTAATGAAAGTAAACTTGACTTCTTCACTCCCTTCTGTGGCAAGTTAAGAACGACATTTGTGTATTTCAGCTTTTTTTCCTCCCATGAATTTGATATGCGTAAAGCTTTTATTTGATATGAAATCATGCACCTGTAGAAAATGCTTAGGTCTGTATGTACATACTTACATTTTGCCCCTTTTCCTTTTTATGCTGGTATATGTATGACAAAATATCGAATTAATTTCTGTGTAGCCTTGGTAATTTATTCTTTAATACGTTAAATCCCCCGGGTTTGTGTTGACGAATATGTGTAAAAAGTACGATTAATGCAATAGCAGGTTTTGAAAGATTGGCTGGAACTCGCACTCAGTGGGTGTGCTAACTGCAGTAAATCAAGCAAGTACAGACCGGTAGTGCTCGCTAAGTCACGTGACCTACTGCAGGTCTCACTTCCACAGCAAAGTATGTTTTGAGTGTTGTTTACAAACAATAAAGCCAATTTATGGTATGTACCCAGCATATCAGTAGTCTGAGTATGGTACCTACTGTTGGCTTTATTTTTGGTAAATGATACTTGCGAAACACTTTGCTTTTGGTGGATGCCATCTTTGTTGATATTTAATACCCACCATAGGTCACTTGACTTAGCGGGTGTAATTGGTCTATAGCTCTTACAGCTCCTGGTATTAGTATAGTCTCTTTCCCAGTCTGGTTGATGCTCTCTGCATAGAAACATTGGTAGCACTTGAAGGTAATCCATGTTTTCGTTGCCTGTGGCACTATAAAACAAATTGCACAAACATGACAAAGAAAAGTTCATCAACCAGCTCTCTGGCCAACACCTTATAAAGCTAAACCTCTAGGCCAAGGGCTTCAGCCGGGGTTTGATTGGATGAGGAGTTTCATTTAAAGCCGATTTTCAAGAGTAGTGTCATACTATTCGAGTTACTCGATGGGCAGAATGATTTATGACATAATTCACAACAAGGCTTCTCATTTTGAAGTTTATACAAACAATTAAGGCGAGGAGCTTTACATCAGTTCTCTCCTGGTGGCCTAGTTTCATGTGGTTAAAATACACCATCAATGTACATGTAGCCTGGGTTTTGTGTTTGGTGATCATTTTTGGCTAAGGACGTTCGCTGAAATTGTCAAATTTACCCACTTTATATTTGAACAGAATAGAGAAGAGAATCAATTCCTAAGTGATCATAGCACGTTTGCAGATTATTGCAGAACTTACCACAGGGATGAGGCAGAGTTGAGATATTAAGGTCATGTGACTTCTCCTTTTAAACCCTTTCCTGTTCTACATTTTCTAACATCACCTGCATGTTATTGACCCCTCTGGTGTGACAACTCGTTACAGCGTGGGTTTCTCCCAGCAACCTGTTCATATAAAGTACCATGCCTGACTGAGTTGAAGTAATGTTAGAGTATTCATTTAATTATTAAGGTGCTTTTTTTATATAGCCGTTGCAGAAAGAGTGTCAATATATTTTGCATGATTTTGTATGAATGCGTTACTAGATGTTGGAAACATGCGTAATCAAAAACGTTTAACCTCGAATTGTCTTTTTTGTATACACTGAACAAGGTTCTGATCCTTATTTTTGTAATATTCCTATCCGTGTGTCCTTTTTTCATGCTTTTTTATGTTTTTGTACAGCCCTAGTTCAGTCTGTTCATTTCATATTATGACTTGGCAGTTACCTCAAAATACTCGATTATAGAAAAAAAGATGGTGTAGATTTCCATCTGCCTTTTTTTTTAATGCACCTGGTTTGATGGCTTGCTAAGCTGAAGCAAATTGTTGAATAGGACAAATTATGGCAGTTTACGTGAAACTTTTGATCAGCTAAGCGTATTTAGCATAAAAGCAGTTTCTTTATTTTTTTTTTTTTTGTGGTCTTATTTCCATGGCCATCAAATTTTCCTGTGTGATAGTCCTATGAAATTGTCTGGCTCGTTCGAAAAAAGATGGAGATCAATGTGTGGTTTAAATAAGCTGCCAATCTGAGTGCAAACCTTTTTTCAAACCTTACAGAACAAGGTATCAACCATGCCAGGAACGCATAGTGTTTCCTTGGTCATTTGTAACAGCTTAGTAGTGTAATATTTTCTTTGTAGATTTTGTATCTGTTTTCCAAACAAATATTGAGAGGACATGGCTTTTTGCTTGGTAGTGTATAAGGGATTTTTTTTTCATTCCAGCCTAAGCTGTATGTATAATTCATTTTGGTATGGAGTTGCTTTTGGATAAAGGTCTAATAAAGAGGTTTGTAAATGTGAAATTGTGTGTGTTTGCAGAAATAACTTTGTCTTAGTCATTACTTTTGAATATTTACAACTGGTTGTGATGCGACACATCGCTTCGTTAAAAAAAAAACACTTTTCATAATTAGTTCGTAAATGCACTTGACATGCTTCTTGCCCAGACAATCGAAGAGTGTGGGGATTTCTTTTATTGAAAGTTTACTGTATACATATCAAAAATTGCCATATAAATGTGCGAAAAGGAGGCTGAATGGCATTGAAAAGAAATGCATGTAACAAAAAGAGACATTCGGGCTGAACTTCCAGTCCTCCGCGACAAAATGGGTAAAACCAGAGACCCGTGTGCGACTGCGGGTCAGAAGGATAGTACTTCGGAACAGCGCCCTCTATTTGAAAGTTTTAGAGAGAAATGTGGGAGAGCAAACGGACAAGTAGGAACTTTGGGCAGGAAAAAAATTTTTTGTAGACATTGAATTCAATCTGGTAAATATTTTCCTAAGGTCGGGAAATTTTCGATTTTAAAAAAGGTACTTTGACTAATTTGCAGAAGCACCCCCTCATCGGTTGAGGAAAAAAAAAGCAATAATTGGTAGCGATGCGACCATAACGCGTTCTTTTCATAGACACGATAGTCGTTTGTGAATCAGCAGTTCTGGCCAAAGGAGCTTAGGCCTACTTGCTTCGAAAATTGCTTGGTCCAGCTCGACGTTTATACAAGTACAACGTTACCTTTCCACAGGATGGAAACGAAATAAATTCCCTCATTACATTCCTTGTGGCCATCTCATCCAGATCGTCGACCTTGCACCACAGGTATTCCAGAATCTTCTTTTAATTTACTTTTATTCCATCCTCACATTACCTCCTAAACCATCAGTGAACTACCCCCACAGAAAACATCCGATGTTGATCATCATAATCTGACAGGTGAGGCACGACTTTTGTGCCTCTTCTTTGATTGACGACTCTTTCCTGGACAGAAAGCCTCAATCCCAGCTTTCTGTCCAACATTTAACACCACAAAAAAAAATCGCTTTTATTTGGAGAAATCACTAGGTCGCTCGAAGGGAAAGGGAAAACTTCGAGACAGGAGTCCGTTGCAATTGTAAATATATTAATTGCTGATTAATCCCCCAAGAAAAAAACACGTTGATGTTAAAATTCGTATATTTTCACCCCACTGCATCACGTTCGTGAATTGCATTTTAATGCAGTCTTTTATGATTGATGAACTCCAAAGAAAATGACCTCATGGTAAAAATTAATGAATTCTTGGTTTTGGACGTGTTCACATCCTCATTTTCCTAAATCCTTGGGGGGGGGAGGTCATCAACACGGAACACTACAATGAGGGGGACAAACCATTTGAGTGATTGTATGAATTTGTGCGTTTATCTTTTCTTCGAGCTCTTTCCCTTCCTGATCGATCGGCGATCATTGAGCAAAGCTGTAGACTAGATGCTACCAAGCCATCAACCGAGCTTCAAACAAGGTCATCCCGAATATTTTAAGCTGCCCTATAGGGTCTGAGCTTAGCCGATGTAACGGATTATCGGATTATAAAGCTCCATTCATTGGCAATAGCGCCCGGCCAGTCGCCCGTTGATGACCCGGGGTGTAATTTGTCTCCCACGAAGAACAGACTGAAACCAGTTTATCATAGTTGATCACCTCTTGCTTTGATGGTTAATCAAATCAAGAAAGCGTAGACCGTTATAATCAGTCATAATATGATACCGTTGTGAAATTGTGCAGGTCATGGATCAATTTGAATTTATACACTTTAGTCAAGGCACATTTAGAGATGCTGCCTATGGGTATAATCCTGTGTTATTTTTGAAGACGTTGAATTTGAAGATGTAAAGAGTACGAAAATGTACGCATTTTAAAACTAAAAGCTACATGGTTCGGTGCGCACTTGTTTTCAATCATCGAATTACATGTATTACATGTTGTAATACATTTGATAAGGATCGAGAAATCAGTTTCATTAGTTTACAGTGAAAATGAACCAGGAAAGAAAAGGTAGTAGAAAGGCAAACAGATCAGGTCAATTGCGGGGAAAACCCCATCGACAAGTTTTATATACATTTTGCCAAACAGTTTTTGTTGGAAATTTAAATGATTTCAGAGATTTGGCGGGAAGTTACTCAAAAAATTGCTCCAAAGCTCTGCTTTAGTTTCTGCCCATGTCGGCTTCTCTCTTTAACACAACCTCCGGGGGCCATCCATCTATCTTCCTTTCCGCCCGAGTTTATAAGAAAGATCGGATCAAATCCTGAACACTGCCTCGATCTCCTTTCCCCAAAAGAGGGTCGCGACATAAAAGGGGCAAGCGAATTCCTGATGGTCTTAAGGCTTGCGGATTTGCAACAAGCTTTGCATGTGAAAGGACCTTTAGCTGCCCTTGTGTAGTATAGTTCTCAAGCTATCGGCCGAGGGACTTCACCAGTAGGCATTCAATCAACCATCAGACCAATCATAAGCGTGGTCTTATCGAAGCCTGGTATAGTTGCTTACTTCATTGAATTGTAGGGGAGTCCATCATATTGATTTTAAATTTATTTCTTTTTCTGATACCCGTAACAGAAGAACATAAAATCAGTGCATGAATTTCAGTTCCTTAAAATCAATAATGGACCCCATATAATGTTCTAATGATTTTGAATGTGGTATTTTAGTGTGAATGAATCGGCCTCAAAATGGCAGTCCCTCATAAAATCTTCCCCGTTAGTAAAAAATGGTCAAACCCACCCAGCGTGAGTGCTAGCGAGCGCTAAGCAAGCCGGCACTACTAGCCACACTGCGTATACAGTGTAATAAGTAAAGGTTACAATACGGCGTAGTACATGGCCCATTGAATTTGTGCTATGTAGACGTAACTCCTGGACGTTTTGGGGTTGAAACCCCTGTTCATATTCCGCCATTTTTGGAAACTTTTTCATGTTCGACAGAGAAAATGACGAGATTGAAAGGTGTAGCTCTGCTAGGAGTACTTCTTGGATCCATTGGGACTACGTATGGCAGTATTTTAGAGGCACAGTGCCGAGCGAGGTGTTACACATCATTGCACGTGAGTACCGAACGATGTTAGCAATACCCATAGGGCTAGAGTTTCACATCATCATGTCTCTTTGCAGGCATTTGTCATGTTTGTTCTTTCTCCTTTATTTAAAAATTTTCTTCACAAGCATTCTTTTAAAGAAGGCTGTTAGCTGACTATAATATCTAATTACACCTAGCAACGGAAATAGATTGTTTGCAGACTATAATATCTAACCACAACTGGCAACGGAAATATTTTACTTCAATACTCCCGCCAGAGTTGGTCAGTGCTTGGAGCTATATAAAAAGGATCATATGGTCAGATCAGTAATAAACTAAATTTTTTAAAATAACTATCCAGTTCAGTTGTGTTCAGAATGATATAAATTCTTGGCACATTCCGTCAAGTGTCATTTCCAGATTTATTTCAGTAAAACGGGTGAAAAACTGGGGAGAGAGTGTGCCTTCCCGTGAACACTTTGAGTCACCGTACACAGAGTAAATCTTTCCCAGGCAACCGTTTGGACAGTTATATTTTTCCAGAATTACCCATGTTATTTTTACTGTCAGCATGACCACTCACTTAAAAATAGGTATTGAGAATTGTTAACTGATTTCCACAAATGTTGTCATTTTTGTGGCAATTATATTTAGTCATGACGCATGCATGTATACATTGTGTCGGGGGTACATTGATAAACTTCATAACATTTGAAATTTTAAACTGCTAATGTAATTCTGGAACTCTGTTAAATAATGTGTGACTTGGCATGTGTGTTCACTGTTATGACTATTTTGTCTGGTGTAGATCTGTAGTGCATTAATTCCCAAGTAAGACTATGACTATGAAAACTTGGCATCTTGAAGTTTAGTAAGAGTGATTCACAATAATGTGAGTTTTCATTAGAGGACCAAAACCAAAAGAATGGGGTCAAAATTGTTCTACTCTGTATCCTAGAGATCTTAGCTCAAATCAGTACCTTTTCCATGCTTTCATAACTAAACCGTGCACCTCCTCCCATGTGACTACATAGCATGCTGTGATCATTAAAACTTGCCTACTATCTTCAAAGCCTCCAAACTATGTAGGCGGTCGACCAAGCAGCCAGAAGTGACTTTATAAGGATAAAATGTCGGGGAGAGAATGCGTACATCGTGTGAAGTGAAATTCTGCTTTCATTTTTTTTTTGAATAGTGCACTTACAGTTCACACACAAACCCTGTGAGACTGGTCTGAAAAATTCTAAGCATCCCCTGCTTAGTTTGCCTTTTTATAAATTAGGACATGTATACGTATAGATACATCTTATCGCCCTATGATGGCTAGAAAACCACTACACTTTACTGGTTGAGGGAAAATTTGTATTTGGTATATATGGAACTTCCACCCTTACATAGTCCCTACAATTTGTGCGGATGACCAAAGTTTTGCAGAAATATCACTCTTGGTTGGTGTTTGATTTTCACCACAAAATACCTAGTTGCTTTGTATTTCTTTCGTATTTTCATTGAGAATTTCGTACTAGTAGTTTGTTTTATTGGGTGTTCTGTTCTTAGTGCATTATTATTTTGCTTTGTACTGACAACCAACCACTGATAAGCTAAAGTACAGTGAATGACTTGGACATGGAGAAAGCTGGCACTGTGTGATCCGGGATTGTGTCTGGAGATGTACTGGAGGTATATGTATGTAGTTGTCCACAGTCAGATCCTACATGCATGTGTACGCGTAAATGATACAAACATTGTTTCCCAAATGGCCCCAAAAAATGTAAACTAGGTTAGAAGAGCCTTTGAAAGCAAAAGGTTTCATTCCAACAGTTTTTGGCCATATTTCAAAATATGACTGCACCCGAATTCACTGGGGAAGTACATTTTTGGATTTTCTCTCCATACCCATTACAACCTCTGATAACTGATTGTATGGAAGTATCTAGGGATAAGAATTAAGATCCCAGGATTTGAGGCAAAATTCTGATCTGGACAATTGCTTTCTAACTTTTCAATGGAGAATCCTCTTGGAGATTATCAGGCCAGCAGGATTAGTTGGTACTTGTCAAGAAGTAGCAGTCAAAAGACAGATTAGACATAACCCACCTCATTGTTGAAAGCAGGGCTAATTATTGCACTGGTAATAACCACCAAATCATCACAGGATGAAATCCCAAGATTATCTTCTAGTTGCCAAGGATTTAGTATGACCTACCGGTACCTGTAGGAGCAAGTTTTTAGCACTTGACAAAAATAAATCCGCTTGATTCTTCAGAAACTACTCGAGGCCTTAGGTTATTAGAGTAATAGGCTTTATAAAAAATAAGAAATTGTGAACAATGTTATCCATACACACCTGTATAGCTTTGACTACGGAAGTTTTGTTTCTTTTGGGAATATCCTTGTACATGTAATAGCGCAAATGTACAGTGAGGTATTGTAGGTATCGGCACTAGTTACATGTACATGTATGGTACATGGTGTACATTCAAATGCATGTACCGATACTTTACATTTTTAGTGCACTTTTTATCGAATGAGATTCAAGTGAACTGGTACTAGTCCCACATAAGATTCCAGGTACGTATTTCTGGAACATGACATTCTTTGGAGTTGATTCTGGTCTTGGCAACATTTTTGTTTTAGGCTTAGGTTGTGTCTGAAACAGGTTTTCATAGCTACGGCTACATCCATTGTCAGCGCATCTCAGCATGTTTCCAATGGAACAAAGATTTAGACCTACATGTAGCTGTAGATACCAGATTTGGATGCAGCCTTTCTTGTATCCTGCCTCCTTCCTTTCCACTCAGTTGTCACCAGTTACAAACATTCCCCATCATCACTTTCCTACTTTTAAAGGTTGAGTTTGAACTCAATTTAAATAATACGGGGAAACTTCATTTCAATTCATCAAGCTGTCATCATAGGTCAAACTTAAAGCTAAATACAGTGCATTGATTTGTGTCTATTAACAATTACATGCATGCTACATCAAAGTATTGTGTTGAGATTTATACAGTACAGCTCTGATTTACTACTATGGTATATTTCCTCAACCATGTGCATGTAGGCAAACATTCCATAGCCATCTTGGTGTGGAACTGCATTGAATTTGAATTTGGAAAAACTTTGACAACGTGAGTTTCTTGACTCATAAAATGGGACTTCACAGAGGCCATTGCGCAATACCCCATGCCTTTAAAAAAAATCATATCAAACCAGAAGGCACAAAGTCAACCACTGTGCACACAAATTTCAGGGACGTTCCATCTTTCCTACCAGCATAGGGAAGGGGAAAAAGTGTGTCGCAATCTTTTGCCAATCAATGGGCCATCAATAATTCATAAATACTCCAGCCTGTCGGGTCGGTCGGTTGGGCAGGCTTTGGCGCTCGAGTCAAAGACCATGTGGCACATGTGCGATAATTCCTGTGCACTCACTGCACCTGCACAATAGCCCTGGTTGGCCACGTCACATCAGACAAGCCTCCAAAATCCATATCTGTGTATTCTTTTGAGGAGCGTCAATGATCATAGGCTGCCACTGTATGCAAAAGCACGCCAAGAATTTCTCTGTGTGTGGCACAGGGACAACAGAATTTCTTTATTTAGATATGACCTCAATCTGGTGATTATTCATTAAAAGTGGGGGAGAGAGAGTGCCCAAAAATTGAATGGAAAAACTGACTAAAGTTGAATGAGCTTTTAAGTTCAGAGGCTTTGCTTGTCATTAATTTAGTTCTGCAGTGTCACACTCGGTGATGCTGCAGAACTGTAAATTTCTAACTAAGTATTTCAATTCAGATGTGTCTTTCAAACTGATTTGTCCCAACTTACAATTTTTGGTTGTATGCAGACAAGTATTAGACTTGCAGGATTCAGGACTGCTAACAGGTCTCAAACCTTAAGGGGAGGGTGTCATGGCTGCCCTGTCCTGTGCAGAATACACTTGAAACAAAACCAGCTGTTACAGTTTCGAGGAGTTTCAAATGGACAAGATAATTGGAATAAACCACTTCATGTTTATTTCACAATTTTATGCACTCCATTTTGTTCTGACCTCTTCAGATCATGATGTGCAAGGAATTGTAGAGCCACAGTATAGTTGGGTTGACGTGGTCATAAAATATTGGAAAAGTAAAGAGTTGAGCAGGAAACTTAAACTGTTTTTGCAGTAAGGCCAAGGCCACAGTGCACTTTTTTCCCTCCCAAAATGGCCACTGTATGGGGTCAGTCATCAAGTTCAGCAGTCCACTCCTGAGGATTGTGAACTCATTGAAAAGAAGAGGCACACCGTGGTGTTAATGTCCAGATTGGTGACCTTCCCTCTGACAAGCACCCATAAAACCAGAGTGGCTTTCTATTTGAAAGAGGCCGTTAGGTGAAGTGCCAAACTGTGTTGCTGCCCAAGATATTTCTGATGGTCACACACAAGTGGCAGCCTTTTTTATCAGTGGTCTTTACAAGCCACAGATTTTTTTTGTTCCCTTGTCGTTCTGCTCACGTCACGAAGGACACTGCTGAATATTCAGAATTCAGTGAGTTTTCAAAGCGGCCATTATGTTTTGTTTTTTTTTTCCTGCCATTTACCGGTACATGTACCTGCACATGGAAGCCTAACATTAATGGTTTTCTTGTGCATAATCAAATGGCCACTTCTTGCTGTGCGTTGACTTCAGCATAGCCAAGGTGTTCTAGGGACCCCCTAAAATGCAACTTGGGGATCTTTTGTAGTGGCATTGTCAGGGCAAGGCCGGAGAAGCAAGCTCTTTTGAGAACACCTCAAGTGTCCCTAGTTAGTAAGGACCAGTAGAAATGGTATGTACACCAGATACGTGGTGTGGAAAATTGGATGGTTAAATCACAGCTTTGTATGGTTATTTTATCCCACACTGTTGTCAGCAGTGTGCTTAGATTTTACATCAATAAGCTCACCTACGTGTATACACAATGGCTTTGGAAGTAACTGCACATACAGTGTGTATGTATTAAAGTACAAGTATAATTCCAGTTTTTCCAAGCTGCATATCTGTATCCA